TTTACACACCTCTTCTGTAGACTAACATTTTGACCAAAGAGTTCTCCACATGTTCACCTTTAGGAAACTCATTGGGAAATTAAGATGGATGGCCGTCACTAATCCATCTACGCAGTAGTGTAGGACAGCCAGCATGAGCTCTAAGCGCTCTACAAACTGGGGATCAGCTTGAATTGGTACTGGTCCTTTTTTAGGAGTTTAATCTATTCCTCCAAATATTTATTTATGAGATCCTCAAATACAGGCACATCATCTACAGCAACAGTCAGTTATTTGTGAAGCTGTGACACTACTGGATTAACAGTTGAAATGGCCCACTTTTTAATAAAGGCCTCTGCAAATGGATATTAGACTGCAAATCATTTGGGAGGTATAATTAGTTTATCAGGAGTTTCCTAGTCTCTGTACTGGATGTACAGAAGAAGGGTGTGCACTGAAAAAAGCTTTGAAGTCTTAGGGCCTCTAACGGAAACCAAACTAGTAAAGTGCTGAAACAAGCAACCAGCTACTGTGTTGGACAATATAATAGGGCAAGGATTTTAGAGACTCTTTGTCAGATACAGCCTCAGAGGCCACTAAAGCTACATACAGCTAAAATAATAATTCTGTATGGTAAGGAATTGAGGTGGTCAGCGTCAGTAATTAAAAACTATTTGGCCCATGAAATCTTCTATAACTGCAGTCAAATCCACACAGGATAAGGGTTAGGAAGGCACCATAGCTGGCAGAGCTAAGGAAGACTTCAAGAAATGTAGGGAACGTGCTATCAAATGCTGAATGGCAGAAACAGAGGTTGGAGTGTGCACGTACAACACTCCATCCAGTGATGCAACACTCAATTCTTCAGCTTTTAACACTTTCTGTGGAAACCAATGGAGAAAAAAAAAAGAAAGCGATAGTAATGGCACCCAACAGTCCTAAAAAAACAAAGAAGTTCCTGATACTAACTGAGTACTTCAAAAACAGGATCACACCAGAGACTTTGCCACAGTTCTGGACCTGGAAAGCACTCTGTGCTAACTAACGCAGTACTCAAAGATCCGGAAAGTACCAAATGCAAAGCCCTGTGCTTGAAGGTCAGATTCCAGGCAGGCCCTACAATCATCTAGTCCAGCAGGGTCTGGTACAGCATCCAAAGCTATTGCTGAGGATACACCAATCCAGAAAGCTGCATAAAGAGACCCCATCTCAAGCAGCAAGCAGTGGAGTCTTGATTAAAGAAAATCTTGAGAAAAAGAAATAACATTGGCTAGTACAAATGGGTTAGCACATGGGTTAGCTTTTATCAGAAGAGAACAAAAATATCTATCCTCCTAGAACACTAACAAAAAAAACTGTGGCATGCTTGGAGGGTTATCCAGGACTGTTTTTTTTTGCCAGTGTCCAAATCCTTCTGTAGGTGGCAGTATAACCCAAATGTCTAGGTATTACTACATTGCTGTGTCTCACAATGAGGGAGAAAGAAAGCCCTTTATTAGACAAAATTATTTAATAAATAAAAATGTAAACAATGTCCCCCGATATAGATCCAACATCAAATCAGGTCATTCAGTGATGTAGATCCACGTTAATCATGATAACCCACCAACATGACGATGTTCACCCTCCCTTACTCTAGTCACAATTGACAGTTCCCCAGCCAGCTGCTATATGTCAACAAAACTGGCTGGAGATTCTGGGTGACATTTTTTTACCACCTATGGGTCAATGACATCATCCAGGATCCCTTTGCCGGTCTGTTAACAAGCACCAGTCGGCCAGCAACTGTCACTTTCTTTTCAAAAGTGACAAACGCGTGATGTACAAATTTCAGGTGTGATATAACAACACTAAACCCACATTTATCTGTACAATAAGTTATATAAATTGTGTAACTATAGAAGTTTCAGTATTGTCACCTCCCAGCTCTTTAAAGAACTGATGCATTATAAATAAACACAAACTAAAACAAACAGATTCCTCTGCAACACTTACTTGTCCATTTTCCTCTGTAACACATCTAGAAACTCATTGCAATATACAAGATTATCTGGCAGCCCGACATTGAACGAGTGCTCTTCAATCATGTGATTAAACAGGACAGATCTGCATAGAAACACATTTTTAACTTTAGCGATTAAAAGGGAAGAACTGCCTGAAACTGTTGAGATATTACATAAAAATGAAGTTTTTAAAGACCACTGCAGGATTTAAAAAATCTCTCCAACATTTCCCACTTTTACCTAACACTGTTTTCAAAGCACTTGCATTCATTCTCAATTAAATACAAGATAATTGTCCTAATTATTTTTAAAAGAACGTCCAAAGAAATACAGATCTCTATGGTATAAATTGGATTAGATGCCAAAGAAGCAGGTGGCAATTTTGAAAGATGTGCATTTTAATATACTTAAAGTAGTACTAAAGGCTATTCATTTTTTTTTACCTGAATGCATTCTCTTTCAACTACTTTCATTTTTGTTGGGGATGCAAGTGCTTTAAAGTGATACTGACATTCAAAATTTCGATTGTACAGTATAATGCATTGGTTTTTATGTCATTCCTAATTCTGAGGTAAAAGAGTCACACGTTCGGAATGCAAAATAACCATAAAAGGAAGAAATCAACATACCTGTTTCCTTTAAATTCCTCATCACAAAACATGCACAGCCTCTGAAAACTAGTATCTGACCTCTCACATTGTTGCTGTTCCAAAATGATTCTCTGTTCAATTATACAAACATAAATGTATTAAGGCAGATAACAATATAAGGTCTATAAAAGTTATGAAAAAAATAACCAAGACAATTGGGTCAGCTAGGTTTTTAGTTGACTGATTTATTCTCTTATCTTGCTTTAATATGTGTAAGAAATGCTTAATAGTCAATCTGAGCATTGTAAGCTGGATCTGAATTACTGTTTTTACCTTTTTCCATCTTTCTTAAATCATCTTAATGCTGCTGATCTCCTTCAACCAATTTGTCTACATTCATTTACTTCAGTGTCTGCTGTATATCATTGTTCTGGACTGGCTTCCTGATACCGACAACTGTGGACCAAGCCTGCACAATGCCACTGCCACTTGTAGTTCCCACCAGGGATGGCATGTAACAGGGTCACAAAACAGGACAGCAACTGGGAGACAGTTGTTACTCCATAGCAGGTACTGGTACTGCCTAAACAAAGACTTTCATAGTAGGATTACAAGGAATTGTTTTAAAAAACGCTGCAAATTTTAAAAGGAATTGAGTTTACATATCCCCCAAGTTTGTTCTGTGGCAAAATACACGATACGGTAAAATGATTTAGTGTGGTTTATTTGACAACAATTCTAGATATCCTATTCTCTTCTCTTCTCTTCTTCCAGTTTTGTGGGTTATTGCCCGTAGTATACAGGAACCTGCTAAACATTTGATTATATGAAGTGGTATGTCACAAATAGGGATGCACCGACACCAATTTACCGAATACCAATATCGGAAGTCCCATTAAGGATTCAGGCGGCGTGTAATGACTCGCCACCTGGCATCATGATTAGCTGGGGGGTGGGAATGACTTGCCGTCCGGCTTCCCGACCATTTAGGAAGTTAGGCGGCGAGTCATTATACGCTGCCCGGCTTCCTGATTGGCAGGGTAACCAGCTCCATGCTCGCCGTCCAGCTTCCAGATATCGGAAGTTCTGGTATTGGTATAGGCATCGGGAGCATTTGGGCCAGTACAAGTACTGGCCCAAATACTCAGTATCAGTACCGATACTAGTATTGGTGCATCCTTAGTCACAAGGACAAGTTTCATTCTGGTTTGTCAAGATTTAAAAATGGCTGGGACCCACTGCCCTAGTATGGTATTATTGGATAAAACATTGTTTGCATAACAGAATATACATGACAAAAGTCAGGATTTTGTAATTTTGATGCAATCTGAATGCAACATGGTATATCGCTTTCCTCTGCCTAAAGTTAAGTCAAAAGTCTATTCTATACATTCATGGTCATAGTTGCAAAAGAAATGATGCTCACAGTCTAAGGCTCCATTCACACTGGAGTGGCTGTTCGTGATTATTCTGCTCTACGAATACGCACGCAGCCAATCTAATGTGCATTGTACAGACTACTGCAGAGCCCCCAAAGTAGTGCAAGTGCGATAATACAGCAGATAACGCGCGTTCATGGGTAAATAGCCTCAAATGAGCAGAATCCGTGCAGTTGTTTCACAATAAGCATTTGCGTCCCGTGCGGTCTTCCGCAAACACTATATGTGAATGGAGCCTTAATAGGATGGAGAAGCATTTTTTATTTGAAATCAGTTCTGGACGTTTGGGTGTGCAACATTACACTTAAAACACAGCATACAAAGAATACCATATATGCCCAAACCATCTCCCCAGCTGACACACACACCTGTAAATCAGAGCTTATGAACAGTGTTTGGAACATGGTTCAAAAGCTTAGTTAAAGGAGAACTATGAGGTGAGTGCTTTTCACTGCTAGATAGGCAGAGCCAGCGCTGACTGGCGGAACGGACGGGGGAGGGGGCGGGTACAGCTGCTCTGCTCTCTAGATAGGCAGAGCCAGCTGTCACTCACGCAGCTGGGCGGATCTCGACATCGATGTGGCTCGCAGTATACTGAGCTTAGGGTAACGGGAGGACACTAGTTTGTGTCCTCCCGTTACCCTAAGGAGAACTATGGGGAAAAGCCCTGACCCCATAGTTCTCCTTTAAGAAATACAGCAGCATTATTGTCACATTGTATTTACTTTGTTGCATTTATCATCACTAAATAAATAGGCAGAAATGTAAAAACGACTCCTGTTCATAGATCACCCTAACCCTTTTATATTTGACTCCGAAGGACACACAAATACTAAATGCGGATAAAAGGAAAAAAACCAAAAACAAAAAAAACAATATTACTAGTTTTCAACATTAAAATTAAGAGGAACTTTAGAAAAAATACTTTAAGACATTGTATCTAAAAGCACTGAAGGCTAAAGGCCCTAACATGATAGAATGTCTATTGACATTCTGTTCTGCAGGATTTCAGAGAATACAAACTTCCGTTTATACAACATACTACTGCCATCACTTACAACATCTGGAGAATGTCTCTTGTTAAAATCATGAAAATTCCTATAAATGACACTACAACAAAGTTTGCTTATTGTGTGAGCAATGAGATTCAGCCATATTACAAAACGTTTTATATGACATGATGGGGTATGCCCCATAGGCACATGTATTGTTAATATTGTAACAATATTTTTAAAGTGACATTAAAGGAGAACTATGAGGTGAGTGCTTTTCACTCACCTCATAGTTCTAGCCGACCAGTGACAATGAGACTGTCACAGGTCGGCTCAGTAGATCGGGAGGTGAGCGAACACATACATTCTCGATCCTGTCACAGCTCTCTGCCATCAGAGGGGAGTGGCTGGATTCACCCCTCCCTGCTCCGATCCTCCAGCGCTGACTGGCAGAACGGACGGGGGAGGGTACAGCTGGCTCTGCCTCTAGATAGGCGGAGCCAGCCGTCACTCACGCAGCTGGGCGGATCCAGACATAGTCGGGATCGGCTTCAGCTGCGGCTACAGCTCGTGGTATACTAAGCTTAGGGTGACGGGAGGACGCTAGTTTGTGTCCTCCCGTTTCACTGAGAACTATGGGGAAAAGCCCTAACCCCTTAGTTCTCCTTTAAAGTCAAAAACATTTTTCAATCCCCCAATGTTAATGTCAGCACTTACCTTAAATGAGGTTTCTTAATCCGATCTTCCTTTTCTTTCCTGATGTTTTCATCTGTCCCTCCAGCGGTGCGGCGGCTCTCCGATCCAGCGCTGAGTCCTCTCTGCTTGCTGGCACTTCCGATCCAACGGTGTCTGCATGCGGGTGCACACGTCCATAGACTTACCTTGCGTCTCTGCTCGTCTCCCGGCCGAAAATCCGAACTGCGCATGCGCCCTCCCAAAGATGCGTTGCGGCCACCCGAGCAGTTTCGGATTTCGGGAGCGCACGACGAAAACAGGGTAAGTGTAAACCGCTGTTAAAGCATTTTGTTTTAAAAAACGTTTTGCCTATATCTACTGCTTGCAGCAGTAGATATAGACAAAAAAATGTAGGGTTTAGAACCCCTTTAAAGCTTATCTCCAGAGAAAGCACAAAACTCCCCTTGCAGTGGGGCTGCCTCTGCATTGCAAGGGTAAATGATAATTTAGGTCTAGGGCAGGGGTAGCCAAACTCCGGCCCTCCAGCTGTGGTGAAACTACAAATCCCATGATGCACCTCTCTACGGGAGTCATGTCTGTCAGAATCTTGCAATGCCTCATGGGATTTGTAGTTCCACCACAGCTGGAAGGCCGGAGTTTGGTCACCCCTGGTCTAGGGTATCAGGAAAAGTAGTTTTACTTGCCTGATCCGCACTCCTCAAGCAGCCAGAACTCATCTCGTCTCCCCTATGCTCTGGCGTATGGACTTACCTTCTGCGTCCTCCTCACATATAATGCAAGACTATGGGCCTTGCAGTGTACTTAATGATGTCAGTGGGTCACATAGCCTAGGGGTAAGGCAGAGTGTGCGGGTGTCGGTAGCCTGCAAAAGCAGGGATCAGGTAAGAAAAAAAAAAACTTTTTCCAGGTACCCTAGAGCTAAATAAGTATCATAAGTATCTAACCTTATCAGGAATCACTGTCCCAGTAATTACATGAAACACAGCAGGGGAAGGAGACCTTAAATTCCAGCTATGAGATTAGGTTAAAAGGATTGTGGCAGTTAGATGACATTTTACTTCAGAGTGCCAAAGCCCCACATCGGGTACATGCTTCCACATGCCCTGGGAAAACCCAACATATCATAGAGCTAACGGCAGAATACTGAATATGATTAAAGGTCACTGGGATCAAAAAATTAAACTGCTGTTCACAACAACCAGGTTATTTGTTTTATTGAGAAGATGATCCATACAGAGAACAATTCTACTTTGGTTCCAAATTTCATTAACGCCCAACTGGACTTTCGGTTAAAATCAGCTAAATACATCTCAGGTGCATAAAAACCAAAAGGTGTGCAAAGTCTTAAGGTGCCCATACACCTTACAATTATCTGCAGATTTTCTGTGGTCAGATGGAAAAGGTGCAACAGATTGGCCCAGGTGGAGATTACTCCATCTACACAGTTTAGTGTAGATGGAGGAATCTGTTGCACCTTTCCCATCTGACCATAGAAAACCTGCAGATAGTTGTAAGGTGTATGGCCAGCTTCACAGTTTGTGGTCTTTAAAAATCAACCACAGCAGGAGTAGAAAAGCATGTCGGCCTGTTGCAGAGTGGGACCCTTGCTCTCTGTGGGGAAGCAGTGATCTCTTTGCAGAGGTTCGACATGACCCCAGCTTAAATCAGAGCCAAAGCTTGCAAAATCAGCAGGGAGCATGAGGTTTGCCTATTGCAGGATGAGTGTAAATCACTCACCTCATAGTTCTCCTATAAAACCCCCAAATATTATATATGACCCTTTACAAAAAAATGGTGGCAGCGGCAAATTTTTACGTCATACGATAACGCAATTCTTAATGAAGGCCAAATATTAAGGAAAAAATACACTCAAGTTCATTTTAGAGCCCCCAAAAATATAACAGATGAGGTTATGATGAGTAAAAAGATACCCAACATGCCCAGGTTAAGAATTGTGTGCGTCTATGGAACGGCGACAAAATACGGTACCCGAAATTTACCATA